CCTTCAAAGTGTAGGAAAAAATTTTAAAAAATCAAAAAAACTCGAAATTAATGGCAAAAAAAAATTAATTAAAAATGCGGGTTTAAAAGCGGAATGCGCGTGTGCTGTGCCGCAGCAAAAGCGCGTCTAAACGCGGAAAATGCGGGTTTTTTTATTAAGGCCCTTTCTTTATTTCAATTTTCTTTATTTTTATTTTATTCTTACTCATATATCTAGTGAATATCAATCTGATATTTACCAAGTCATGCAGAAATTCAAGGGTGAGATTTCTGGGTATATTTGCCTGCAAAAATGTGCCAGGTACCCGCAGGTACCCGGTGCAGGTACCCGGGTACCCGCCCTGGCGGCTCTAGCAGGTGTGGGTGCAGGTGCGGGTGTCAAGAATATTGGATTTTTGAGGCAGGTACCCGCACCCGCTACAGGTACCCGGGTATCGAGCGACATCTCTAAAAACCTCCAGGTTTTTTTTTCATTATTATTTTTATTGGGGGATTGACTCCCAAACATGTCAAAGGCCTTGGAGGTCCGACTCCAAATTTGGGGGGTGGGACATCCTGAGAACGGTCTGCAGCCGGTCCTCTCAACGTCCCAGAAATTTGGGAGTCAGAACTCCAATGTGTGGGAGTCATTTAACCAAGGCCCTATGAATAATTATTTATATCTAAATCAGAAAAAAGGTTATTGAAAAATCAAGAATGAATGACTTGAATATAAAAAGAAAGATTTGTTATACCCTATTGAGTAAATTCTCTATTTTATTTTATATTTTATTTAAAGCAAAAAGCAACAATGCAGACTTGATACTAATGTTAAATCTGTTTGTTCTCTTGGTTTTCTTGAAAAGGATATTTAATCACCATCCATATTTTAATTATAGTACCACATTAAGTCAGAACTTCTGATGCATTATTATTCTGATTCAGATCTGTTCTGCCTTCAGGTAATAGGGGGGGGGGGTTCAAATTGGACTGCAAGTGACTTGCATGGATTTTTGCAAGTTGTTCTGCACAAAAAAAGGATGCATTATACTGAGTTACCAAAATTCATGGCAAGGTTTGATGTAACCTGTTTTTTGTTTTTGAGGAGGGAGGGAGGGGGGGGGGCGGATGCTGTGCCACACCCCCTCCAAAGATGAGGGCCTTCATTTATTATAAGACATTCTCCAGATATTCTGTCTGCCAAAGAGCAAAAGTCAATCTTATCGAGTTGAAATAGTGTATCTTGATAATATCTCAAGTTTTTTTTTGTTGAGTTGAGATAGCGTATAATCTTGAGAATATGTCAAGTTTTTTGGGGTTGTGTCTGGCTTCAGCTTGTGAGAGATACACTCCATATCCTGATTCCAGGCCAAATAGCCCCTCAACAATTCCAGTGGCAAAAATGAAAAACCCAAAGCCCCCCCCCCCCCCGAAAACACAAAAAAAAAAACAATCGCCATATATGAACAGAAAAGATTCTGGACAGCAGCAAACTACTCCAAATCTCTTATAATGCTCCATCAAACTACCTATGACAAGTTTCCTTCGCACCGAGTGAACATACAAGGGTGCTATCACTGCACCCTCTCTGCTCTAAATGGACACAACTGGTTGCTACATATGCAAAACATAGGTTCCTGCATGGTCCTATTGTTGTCGGCGAGTGGACGCCTGGGTGATGCCAAGAGCTAGAATCTTCTAGCTACACCAGGTGCAAAGCTAAGAAAAATGGTGTACAAGTGTGGGTAACACTTGGAATGGGGAGGTAATTGATATTAAGAAAAGAAATAATAAAAACTGTTAAGTTTTTATAAAAGGAGGGGCCTGAGTTACAGGGGTTTTTATGGTGCCCTCCAAGGAATCAGGACCTGTTAAACAGGGGTATTTTTGATGTACCTGATGATCTGGTCCTTTGTGTAAAGGAGTATGCCCAGACAAAATGCCTACAACTGAAGTATCAAGGAAATATTACCTACTTAGTACTATTTCCAAGCCAAGGGGACTTCAGGTGGGTGAAAACTGGTCTGGGAGCGCTCAGAAAGCTGGGTAACAGGTGGTGAGAGAGTTCTGGGGAACAGTTGATGGTTGGTTGGTTGAAATTCAGGATGAAAAACAGCAGGAACTGGGCCAAAAACAGGTGAAAACTGGTTGTTGGAGGTGGTTATTGCTGGTAAGTGATGATGAAGATGGGGAATTTGGGTTCGTGGTCAAGAAGGGCTCCTTATATACTCATTCTGGGCCCTTGGAGGCGAACTCAGAACTCTGTTTGGCTGGTGCAAGCCTCCTACTAGGCATTGGTGACCTGTAGCACTGCCTAGACACCTGTAGTCCTTGGTTACAGGTGGCAGAGGGCTGAAGTGAGGCTTGTAACACACACTGAGGAGTGCTGTGACAAACCTGCAGCCATGGTTTGGGCACTGGGACCCTTTAATGACCAGTGGGCTGGTCTTAACCAGGCGTAGTTAGCCAAATTGGGCCAAAAAGGGCCACAAATGGCTTTTGACCAGCCAGTTACAGTTGTTGTGACACTGTAGTTAAGGTTTCAATGATGTCAACCTTATTTGTAGATTTTTCCCGAACTGCATGAACCTTAATTACATATGTAGACCTGTCACAACATGTAGTATGATGTAACTGGGAGGGTTTTTAGCAAAATGAGCAAGTGTTACTCAGAGCACACAGAAGTACCTGAAGGAGTAATAATTCAGGGGTACTTCTGGTGGGGTACCCTAGGTTATTTTGCATGAGAATTAAGAATCTGAAATAATATTCTAACTTTTGCTTAAGGTTTAGAAGTTATTTGTAGATTCATGTTAAAAATGTTTATTTATAAAGGGGGTTAGTTAAACGACTCCCAAAAAATGGAGAGCCGACTCCCAACCCCCGCAATCCCCGAATTTTGGGAGTCGAACCCCCAAAACCTTTGATTGGTTTGGGATTCGACTCCCTAAGAAAAATAATAATAAAAAATAAAAATCCCCGGGTCAATACTCAGGGCAGCGGCGGGGGAAAATCCTCCCGGCCGCTGAGGGTACTCTCCACGGTTGGGAGATGACCCCTTTGGCCATGAGAGTGTACA